ATCACCATTTCGCTACAAGTCTAAGAAAAATGGCCAAATTTTCAAATAAAGTATAATTCGGCACATTCTTTAGCTCGGATTTATTTACGTTAAGTCCAATATGTTATGTTCAACTTATCATATAGATAGTCATATTCAATAATGGGGTTAATAATCCAAATGGTCACTGAACTTTGTAAAAAGTTTTCATCGGATAACTAAACTTTAAAGATCACTCAAGTCATTATTGAATTTTACAAAAGGTTTACACGGGATCACTGAATTTTAAAAATCACTTCATTCATTACTGATCTTTGCAAAAAAATTCCACGGGGTTCAGTGACCTCTGAGAATCTTTTTGCAAAATTCAATGAGAAATAATATAATTTTAAAAGTTCAGCGATTCTATGGAAATCTTTTGCAAAGTTTAGTAACCTCGTGAAAACCTTTTACAAAGTTTAATGATGACTAGGATGATTTTTAAAATTCAGTGACCCCATGAAAACTTTTTACAAAGTTCGGTGACCAATTTAGTTATTAACAATAATTTGTTAATCTATCATTTGAGACTAAAATATATGTCGAGATGAAAAAAGTTTAATAATGACATTGTGTGAGATTTAACTTACTTGCCATGCCCACCCAATTATTGGCTCACTTTCATAGTCATAGTCGTTTATATTATAGCATGGACTATTAATATAAGATTTGACGCCGGCGACAATCCGGCTAAGAATATCAGTTCCGGCAGGTGCTCCATCAATTCCCCTACAAATCGCCGAGACTGGATACGCTGGTGGAGCATTATACTGAGCAGCCTCTACGTAGATTAATTCCAAATAATGTTTCAGCTGATGAGGAGTGTTGAATGGCCTGAGAAAGAATATTATAATATATAATAAGTTTGTTTCATTTTTTCTAAGAATTTAAATTTTTAAATAAAGTAATTATTTAACAATCAAGTAATGATATTAAGCTCTATTAGAGTCGTTGTCATATTGTCAAGGAAATTTCCATTTGTACAGAATTCTAGTTCATAGAATTTTGCTAGAACAGATATGTATGGCCCCATGTATGATAAAAAAAATGTCAAAAAATATTACCCACCCACGCCCACTGTGAGTTGTTTGAAAAAATTCTATGACTTTCCTTTCCGTAAGTGCAGCACGACTCTATTGACAAATACATTATAACATTATCAGATAATGAGCAGTGACGATGTTGCCACATAGATTGATACTAAACACCGGTGAGTTGAATATCATTATTCTTAACAATATGGTACTATATATTTTATGAAAATTCTGTACTTCCGAGACTTTAATTTACTATATTGAATGTGTGATAGCAATTGTTAAAACATAATAAATAAATTCGTCCTCTGAAATAGTGTGAACTTTGGACGATTTGATCACTTTCCATAGAAATTAAAAGGGTTTTCAATGAGTTTTGCTTCGAAACTAGAAAGAATAAACAGAAATAATGAAATTAAAAGGATTACCTGCAACTGCTGAATTTTTTACTGAGAAAGGCGAGGCCATATGGTAAGGAAGCGACTTCGTCTATTTCAGACCATGATTTTCGAATAGTTTCGTAACAACTCTCACTGGCTTCCTGCAAATAAGTAAAAATAAGAATGAACCCTTTATTAATTCTCTTAATTTTGAAAATAGTACTAAAAATGTGATTTTTATAATTTATTAATACCTTGAAATCCTTAGATACGATTGAGTAATATCTATTTTCTGGGGTTATATTATCAAAATAGAGAATAGGTGCTGATGAGGCTAAAGCACCGATAGCAATGTGTGGATACTTGAGCCTAAACCATGAAGCTAGCACTGAAAGTGATCATAATTAAAATCTGGATTATAATTTAATTCATAACAGAAACAAGCCAAATTAAGGTATAATTAATTAAAAATAAGTGATAATTTTGTATAATTCAATTGATTTGCTGACTTCCTCCATATGATCCTCCAATCACAATAATGGGAGAATTCTGAGCTGAAAACTTTTCTTTTATGTGTATTAACAACTCTGCATAATCTGCTAAAGCTTGTGCTGAGTTGAAATATCCACGAGCATTCTCATCATTCATGGCTTCTTCCATTGTTCCAAATGGGACCGATTTTCCATAGAACCGATGCTAAAGAAAAACAAGAAATTGGAATAGTGAGATTCCTAACGACAGTTTTAAGGTTACAAAATACACAAGCAGTACTCGACTGGATAACAGCATAATATAAAAAATTACAAGACTCGACAATTGTGTTGAGAACGAAGTTAAAATAATTTTCGCTGTATGTGTGGAACATGCCCGAGTTGTATAATTACCTCAATGTATACTAGAAGAGCCTTGAAATGAGACGCTGTAGCTCTAAGAAAACCAATTTGCAGATCATACTCTAATGCTTCTTCTGCACCAAGACATACAAAGATTGGTGAGTTTGATCTTGCACCACCCCAGTAACTGAAATCGATCGAATATCTTTGTGGAAAGGTGGCATAACTTTGGGGTAAATAGTTGAAGTGATCAAGAGTTTGAGTGTAATAATATGTCATGAAATTCTCCGAAAGGGCAAATGCAGATAAATTTTTATTAGAATTTCTTCGATTAAACGTTTCTTTATGTGGAGTTAGTCTTGGAATTTGATGTGGAAATGCTGAAACATAATTCAAGAATATTAAGGGTAGGAGTATAGGGTACAATTGAAATAAAAGACTAAAAGATTTTAATGTAGTAGTTTTTTCAGCTGCCATATTGAGAATTGATATTTTATGTATGTTGTATTGTGCACTATGTATGGAGAATAGGAAACAGAAAATATATAGGGAAAAAAAAAAGTAAATATAGAATTTTTATTTTTTTTTAAATCTTATTTATCAAAATTATCTAGTTACATGGATTAGAAAGAATTGGTTAGTTATTAAAGTTTAAAATTGACAAAACTATATTCACATTTTGAATCTGTCCATCCAAAATATTATTTCAAATTAATAAATTATAACCATTTTTTTTAAACTCTCCCTATCCAAAACGATATTTCAAATTAATAAACAATATCAACTCCTTTAAACTCTCTCTATCGAAAACAATATTTCAAACTAACAAACTATATCCACTCCTTGAACACCTCTATAAACAATATACACCTTCCTAGCTATTTTCTCTCAAGATTTTTTCCTCTCTTTTCTCAATTTGTTGTGTAATCGAAATATGACCTTGTTTAGGTCAAAGGAAATGTTATAAAATGCAATGTACAGAGAATTAGACGATGCAATTTATTTCAAACTATTTGTTGACTTAATATTTAATTTTTAGGCGTGAAAACATTTTTTTCAGTTACCAGGTTATGGAAAAAACGTAATTTATCAGTAGAATTGGGATGGAAATGTAAGGCCTGTTAGTGGAAAAGAAATGTCAACAAAATAAGGTAGAAGCTATACCAGACTAGAGAATTTTAGATCGAATTGTGATTTTTCTTTTGACTACAAGTACATATTTGATGTACAGGACATGGATATAAAATGAATAATGTCTTATTTCGTTTGTTTTCTTTCAAAGTTATCCAATTTAGGTACATAGCAACGAATCTTGTTTTATAGTTTCTACTTATGATCGGAGAAGATAATAAACAAGATTATAGTTTTTTTATTTAATAATTCCAAATTTCCACGAAGAAAAAAAAAAAAACTCTACATATTTTTGTTATTCAGATTATTATGTAAACTAGCTATCATCGTTAGGACATTATAGTTTCCATGTAAAAAAGAACCTTCTAGTCAAGATTGCGATAATTTGCACCATCTTTTTTATATTTTAAGTATCTAATAATATAAGCACTAAATTCTAAATTCTTTGGATCAATTGAACACACTACATTAATGAAAGATTAACGTTTTCAAATTTTGTTATCAAAATTTTTCAACGTTCATTCTGAAATAGAAGCATGATACATAATTGCTATATTTATTTTGTTTTCATTTCCAAGGCCAACACATCAAAACAGTACTTTATGATCCATTCTTCAACAAATTCAATCTCTATTTTCCTTTGCATAATCAATCATCCCGGATCACTTTGATCTATGGTAAATAATCAGTTAAACTAATTATACATATGAAATCATTGTAACGGAGGTTATAAATTGTTTAAAATATTTTTCAAGTAAAGCCAATTTTCTAGTAAAAACTAGATTAATAGGTCCTTTAGCACCCTATGAAACTCAGGGAAAGAAATAATTTTCAATGCGTTAATTCATATGAGATTTTAGTACTAAAATTGAAAATATGTCTAATGTAATATGAGAATTATTAAAATCTTGAAATATTTTAGGATGGTGGACGCGACCAAACACAACATTTGGCCTATAGTGTGGCCAGCAGCCTACACGTTTGGAGGATTTTCAAAGAGGTTTATAAAATTCTCTAGAATTTTATGGAGCCTTGTACAAAATGCTAAGTCTGAAGGGTTGCATGGAAGGCCACTGAAAGAACATTTTGTTTATTGTCTACATTGTTCCAAAGTGGGAAGTGTATGGAAGCTTTTGGATTTCCATGTTATAGAGACCTCTAGAGGATCAATCCCAACCATTGAAGAAAATTAATCTTCAACGTCCATTCAAAGGAAATGGATCAATATAAGGACGAGGGTCTCATTTGCAGTCATCGAAATATAGAGATTCAAGTGAGAAAAATAGATTTCACTTTTTCGTCTAATGGTCTTTTGAAGTTCCCTAAAATAGTAGATGTAGATAAATTTTAATTAGGATCTTTCCGAATTAATATCTCATTATGTGGAGTTAGCCTTAGAATTTTATGAGGAAATGCTGAAACTGAATTCAATAAGATTAATGGAAGGATTAGAAGAGGGCAAAATTGAAATAACAGCCTAAAAGATTTTGATGAAATAGTTTTTTGTGCTGCTATATTGATCCTTTATATATTTTATATTGTGCAATATCACAAAATTATATCTTAAATAAGAAAATCACCTACTTTCATATGTTAGAAAGAATCAGTTTACTCATTAAAGTTTCAAATTAACAAACTATATCCACTCTTTCATTCTCTCTATCCAGATTGTATGACAGAAAATATCGTTACACAATATAAAAATTAAAATTAAAATTTTGATTTTTAATATTGTCTTGAGTTATTAAATTTTGATATGCAGCACTTAACATATATATATTTCAAGATTAATATTACACATTATATTGATGCTAGATAGCAAGGGCGGAGCCCAATAGAGTCCAGTGCGGGCATATGCCCGCACTGAACTTTTGGGCTCGACCTTTTTTTTTTTTTTTTTAGAGTTAATTCCCTCCAGCTCCAGCTAGCTGCCCAGCAAAGTCAACTAACCCATCATCCCATTAGCCCAACATCATCTCCCAATACCCATGATCCATTTACAAATACAAAAGAAAACTCATTCCCATTCAATTGAGATTATTGAATCAATTCAAAATTTCCAATTCCATTTTCATTTTTCAACCGCCCGCTCTCTAGCCTCTGTGAATCGTGACTCCGCCTACCGTTCGAGGCCACCGATCCGGGCTTCCAACTGCCACTGATTATAATAATTTCTGACAGTGCAAAACGCTTGAAGATATCGAGGTGCGCCTATCCGCCACCGAGTACGGGCTACCTCCAAAATGATTCGTCTTTTATTCTTAATAATCAAAATTTATTTTATGTTTGCAAAGATTTGGTTTATTTTATGAATTATGTAAGTGTACACGAAATTATTAAAAGTTGCGAATTTTTTGAGCGAATTTATTGAATTAATTGACAATTGGATTCAAGGGTTTTGTGTTTTCAGAGATTTGATTTTTGGACGGTGTAATGTAGTTGAAATTGTTGGTCTGTAGTAATTTTTAAAGTAATTAACTGTGTTACTAATAATCTGAATCAATCATTCTCATTTGAATATAATTTGATTTAGTTAATTATGTCTTTTAGATGCTGCTATGTGATTTCTGATGGTAGTTTTTGTAGATTCAATTAAATTCACGTCTCATAATTTTTTCTATTTACTAAATTTTGCTGTGTTTATGCATGTTGCATTTTTTTTTTCTACTTCCATCTAGATGGAACACTTCTCTGGGTGAAGTCCCAATTTTCAAATTCCACCGACCTAATTCGCTGATTTATTTTATTTTATTTTTTTTATTTTTTACACATATGGAATAGCAGCTCTTCAAATGATCGAACATTGGAAGCGACACTGCCACTGCCTAATCTGTGAGTTGCTTATTTTCGACGTTGAAAAAATTTTGCCCACACTGAACTAAAATCCTAGCTCCACCCCTGCTAGATAGCATTACTCCTAAATATTTGAAATAAAATTATATGCAATGATGTTGAGTTTAAATTCAACGCCGAATAAAGATGAAATAAATTGACAACCTATAAAAATTTAAGTTACTCATCTTGATAAGGTTGAATTTTTTTCATTCATATTTTTGTATCCCCCATTCATCATAAAAATTATCATATTAAATATGAATAAGCATGAATGATATGAAAAATACAATTTTAGCATCTTTTTTGACGTAACGCACGTTTTATTTCCACCATTCTGTATTAATGGTTGACGTAGTTAATGTCCTAGCACGTTCAGACATTGATACAAAAATATGAGTGAAAAAAAATATATATATAAAACAATCCATTAGTCATGCAGAAAGAAGTGGAAGGATCCACATATTGTTGTTCACGTCTATCACAAGGTGCCAAAAAAGCTTGAACTGAATGCAAAAAGTATGAAAAAATACATCACGTTTTAATCTCTTTTCTTTTTTCCTTTTTTTTGGGGGGGGGTTTCAAAAATTCTCCACGGCCACGAAATCCTATACCTTCAAAGGTCATATGCAGCCCTCGAACACATTAGCAATAATTATACAAAAATTCAAAGGCCTTTTGCCCACACAGTGCAACAAACAAAGAAATAGCTTACAAAGCCTGCCTCGTATATGCACACGCCACGCTGAAGACTATCGTACACAAATGAACACAAAACACAAGCTCAACCTGCAGCGGTAGTACACAAGATACAACGCATTTGAGGAGAACCCGAAGAAGTATCCTCCTCCTCATCATCCTCAGCGCCGCCATTATCATATTCGTAATATGATAATTCATCCAGGGGCTTGGTTGGAGTTGGTGGCTTCTTTTGCTGTTGACTAATGGAAATGGTGGAGTCCATTAGACATGTTGTGTGATAGGCATGACAGCAAAAGAAAGCAATAATTGACACGTTTTGTATTGAAAATGGATCGAAACACACGCAGCATCTAGCGCCACCACGTGTTTTCGACTTGACCTCCATGCTCCTCACACTCAAAGATCTCTCTGCAAACTGAGAAGACCTATTTTTGTCCCTCTTACTGCGTGCTCCATCTTCTTCATCGCTCAAGTAAATAGCTCGTCTTGCTTCTTTGTAGTACTTGATTAGCAAATTAACACAATCAGCCTGCAAGTAAAAATGAACTATCAAGCAATTATGGTTATAATTGTACCAGAAGTAATTATGGGCGGGAAGATTACCTTGAGTATGTCATTGCACCCGTGTCTAAGAGAAGTTTCTGTCCTATAGTCGGTGATGATTTTGACTAGACGATCCCTCAATCTGAGAAAGAATGGGTTTACAATTGAGCAAATTAAATGAAACTGCACCATCTTGGAGGGAGTTCATAATCTAAAAGTCATGACTACAATGTCAGGAAGAATACTACTAAATTTGACTTGGAAGGATTATAA